AGAGAGAGAGAGAGAGAGAGAGAGAGAGAGAGAGAGAGAGAGAGAGATTGATTTTCAGCCATCCAGAAAATATGGAAGCATGGATAACTCCAGCTTGGCCAGGATTAGAAGGGTGTACACCTTTAATCCCAGCACCCCGGCAGCAAGGGGAAGCAGACCTCTGTGAGTTCAAGGCCGGTCTGGTCTACATAGGAAGTTCCAGGAATGCCAGAGCTACACAGAGACCTTGTCTCAAAATAACAAACAAAATGAAAGCAGCTGGATGACAAATTGTATTCATTATCCAAACTAAGGACAAGATAATGGAGGGAAAGGTGAAATCTGTATGGTGTGCATCTGCTCACAGCCATCTACAGAGTGCCCATCCCCCTCCCTCCTCCCCCTCTCAGTGTGTCTGTCTCTCTCTGTGCGTATGTGTCTGTGTGATCATCTGTGTCTGTCTTTCTGTTTCCCCTTTTCTCTCTGTGTGTGTGTGTGTGTGTGTGTGTGTCTGTCTGTTTGTCTGTCTGTCTGTGTGATGGTATGGAGGTCAGAGGAAAACTTGGATTCTGTTCTCTCCCTCTACCATGTGGGACCTGGGGATCGAACTCAGGTTGTCAGACTTGGCAGCAGGCTCCCTTACCCACTGAGCTACCTTACCAGCCTGGATTTCTTTCTTTCTTTCTTTCTTTCTTTCTTTTTTTTTTTCGAGACAGGGTTTCTCTGTGTAGCCCTGGCTGTCCTGGAACTCACTCTGTAGACCAGGCTGGCCTCGAACTCAGAAATCCACCTGCCTCTGCCTCCCAAGTGCGGGGATTAAAGGCGTGCGCCACCACTGCCCGGCCTGGATTTCTTTCTTAAGTAGACTTATTTCTGGTCACATAGCCAGGGAATGATGAGCAGGGCATGTAAATGAACACCTGTCATCCAAGCACTGGGAGGTAGAGGCAGGAGAATCAGGAGTTCAAGGTCAGCTTCACTAAATATCAAGTGCAAGTCCCACCTGGGCTACAGGTGGGCTTTTGTCAAAAAGACAAAAAAGAAAAAAAAAGAAAAGAAAGAAAGAAAGACAGCAAAAAAACCTGATATGACATCATTGTCCTTTGCACCCTGAATCTGGAGCTCCCTGCAAAGGCCCATGTGTTAGAGACTGGGCCCTTGGGCTGGAGAACGGCGCAGCAGATAAGCATTTGTGCTGCTCCTACAGAAGGCTTGTTCAGTTCCCAACACCCATGCTGGGTGACTCACAGTCAGCTGTGTGTACTCACATGCACATACATAGTATATATATGCTACGTATGTGCACATATATACATATATGAAGAGACTGGAGAAGGGCACGGTGGTGCGGGCCTATAATCCCAAGTACTGTGAATTCAAGGGGCCAGTCTGGACTACATAGTGAGATCATGTCTCAAAAAAATAAAAGACAGGGTCATCAACCTATGTCACTATTGGGAAATAGTGGCACACGTAGGGGACAGGATCTAGTGGGAAGAGTCATTGCAATGGTTGTTGGTTCTTCCTTCTCTCTCTTCCTCTGCCCCAGGGACTGGTGCTTCTGAAACTGTGAGCCAGGATAAGCCTTTCCTGCTGTGCATGCATTGAGAGGCTCAAGTGCTGTACGAGAGAATTGGAAATCTGATAACATGCTATCCTAGACAGATATACCCACTCTCACACAGCATGAGGTTTACCTTTTCCCCTTTTAGGAGCCTTATGCATGCTAAATGGGACTCTGCCACTGAGTTATACCCCCACCATTTACTATGGGATTCTATGTAGGGGCTCTAATGCAGAGGTGAAGCCCCTGCCTAGAGTCCCCCAAGAGGGGCTGGGGGTAAGGCTCGGGGATCTTGAGCCCTTGCCTAGAATCAACCAGTGATGGGCTCAGGGAGGAAAATCCTACTTCAAGAGAAAGAAACAAGACCTGCTGAGCAAAGGAAAGGAATACACACACACACACACACACACACACACACACCACTGTGGTGGTTTGAATATTCTTGGCCCAGGTAGTGGCACTATTAGAAGGTGTGGCCTTGTTGAAGGAAGTGTGTCACTGTGGGCATGGGCTTTGAGTCCCTCCTCCTAACCATGTGGGAGCCAGTCTTCTGCTTGCCTTCGGAACAAGATGTAGAGCTCTCAGCTCCTCTAGCACCATCCTTGCCTGGATGCTGCCATGCTTCCTGCCATGATAATGGACTGAACCTCTGAAAGTGTAAGTCAGCCCTAATTAAATCTTGTCCTTTATAAGAGTGGCCTTGGTCATGGTGTCTCTTTACAGCAATGGAACCCTAAGACACAGACACATGCGCGCGCACGCGCACACACACGCGCACACACACACACACAGACTGAGGACAGAACTCAGTCTCAGTTATCATCATATACAGATTCTTCTGTTCTTCCTGTTACTCTAGGACAGCCATGGATGCCAACCTCAGTGGGGTGCCCGAGTTCCTATTACTAGGCTTGTCACAGGACCCCAGACAGCAGCAGCTGCTCTTCTCCGCCTTCCTGAGCATGTACCTACTCACAGGCCTAGGGAACCTGCTCATCATCCTGGCCATTGCTGCTGATCCCAGGCTACACAGCCCCATGTACTTCTTCCTGGCCAACCTGGCCTTTGTCGATGTCTGCTTCACCTCCACCACCATCCCCAAGATGCTGGCCAACCATGTGTCAGGATATAAAGGCATCTCCTACTCTGGTTGCCTCACACAGATGTTCTTCTTCATCTGGTTTGCAGGCATCGACAGCTTCCTGCTGACTGCCATGGCCTACGACCGCTTTGTGGCCATCTGTCACCCTCTACATTATACAACCTTGATCACGCCCCGGCTCTGTGGCTTCCTGGTCACTGCATCCTGGGCCTCGGCCTTTGCAAATGCCCTGACCCACACAGTTCTTCTGACTCGCCTCTCGTTCTGTGCCCACAACCAGGTCCCCCACTTCTTCTGTGACCTCAGCCCACTTCTGAAGCTGGCCTGTTCAGATACCTCTCTCAATGACATCATGGTGTACACTGTGGGCGCGCTGCCCATCATCACCCCCTTCGTGGGCATCTTGATTTCCTACACACGCATCTTTACAGCAGTGCTGAGGGTACCATCTACAGGAGGGAAATGGAAAGCGTTCTCCACCTGTGGCTCCCATCTCTCCGTGGTGTCCCTCTTCTATGGGACACTGATTGGGGTGTACTTCAGCCCAACATCCTCTCACACAGCCCAGAAAGACACGGCAGCTGCAGTGATGTACACTGTAGTCACCCCCATGCTGAACCCCTTCATCTATACCCTGAGGAACAGAGACATGAAAGGCGCCCTGGGGAGCCTTGTCCGAAGGACAGCGGTCCTTGTTCGGTAGCCACAGGACTGGGGAGTTCAGAAGACACAAGTTACACCCAGACATTCACATGGCTTCAATTCATCAATTATTTTATTCCTCCAAAGTTGTCTACAGAACAGTTGTTTGCTTTAGATTTGCTGTGTGTGTATGAGTGTGTGTATAAGAAAGAGATGGTGTTTTGTGTGTTAGTGTGTGTTTGTATGTGTGTGTTTCTGTGTATACTTGTGTGTGAGTGTGTATATGTGTGTTGTTTGTGTGTGTGAGAGTGTGTGTATTTGTATAGTGTATATATTTGTGTGTATGTATTGTATGAAAATATGTGTGTGTTTGTGTATGAGTGTGTGTTTGATTGTGTGCATGTATGTGAGTGTGTGTATGTGTGTGTATGTGTGTGAGCATATGTGAGTGTATGGGGTATGTGTGTGTGCACATGTATTGAGGCCAGAATAAGGCATTAGATCCTTAGGGCTGGAATTATACGTGGCTGTGAGTCACCTGAAATGGCGCTGGAAACAAAGTTGGAGCCTCTGGAAGAGCGGTAAGTACTCTTAACTACTGAACCATCTCTGCAGAACAGCCTCGTCCCACGGTGGAAGGGGAAGAGCAAAGGGAGGAGAGGCAGAGGACAGAAGGAGGAACAGACAGCTGCACAGGCTAACCCCCTTATAACAACCACACTTCCACAGTGATGGGGTCACTCCCTTAAGTCTCAATAAAGAGTTCTTCATTTCTCCCCGGCTATCCCATCCTGGACACAACAGATCTTGCCCAGTCTTGTAAGCTAAGTAAGATGAACAGAGTTAGTACTTGCGTGGGAGAATTAATTTTTTAAAAGATTTATTTATTGTATGTATATGGGTACTCTATCTGACGTATGCCTTCATACCAGAAAAGGGCCACAGACACCAGTATAAATGGTTGTGAGCCACCATGTGGTTTCTAGGAATTGAACTCAGGACCTCTGAAAGAGCAGCCAGTGCTCTTTACTGCTGAGTCTAAGAGTTAAAGTTTTAAGATTTATTTTCTGTCTGGGTGTTTTGGTGTGTACATGTAAGTGTAGTGCCCTAGAGGGCCAGAAGAGGGCGTCAGATCCCCTGGAGCTGGAGTTACAGGCAGTTGTGAGCTGTTTGGCATCGGTGCTAGAAACCTATCTTGGGTCCTCTGTAAGAGCAGTAAATGTTCTTTACTTAACCACTGAGCCATCCTTCCAGCCTCCAGGGCAGAATCAATTATCCATTCTAGCCTTATGACCTGACCACCCCTCACTGGCCACAGCTTCCTTGTGGGTGCACTGGAGGGTCCAGCTTCCTCCTGCCTTGTTTTTCCACCAGTCCTAAGTCTTCACCCTGTCTGTGTGCTGGGCCATGCTCAGTTCATACTACAAACTGCACAGGTGCCACCCTCTGGTCTGTGGCCCTCCCTCCACAGTCTTGCAACTTGCAGCTTCAGACACTCACAAGCAGCCATGGCCCAAAACAAAACCGAAACCATGTCAAGTAGAAAATTCCAGACACTTGGGCTGTCCAGAATGCTTGATGACCTTACTTTGATCCCTGGGACCTACATAGTGAAGAAGCAAACTGACTCTCACAGACTGGACTCTGACTCCACAGGCCTGTCACTGAAATCTTGCACACAAGATAAACTCATTAAAAGATAAAAGAAGCCGGGCGGTGGTGGCGCACGCCTTTAATCCCAGCACTCGGGAGGCAGAGGCAGGCGGATTTCTGAGTTCGAGGCCAGCCTGGTCTACAGAGTGAGTTCCAGGACAGCCCGGGCTATACAGAGAAACCCTGTCTCGAAAAACCAAAAAAAAAAAAAAAAAAAAAAAAAGATAAAAGAAAGTTCAAGAAACAAAGACATCCTAAGTTTATTTTATTTTTATTTTTTATTTTTATTTATTTATTTTTTAACTGTTTTCTTTTTTTTTTTTTTTTTAGATTTATTTATTTATTTTTATTTATGAGTACACTGTCGCTGTCTTCGGACACACCAGAAGAGGGCATCCAATCTCATTACGGATGGTTGTGAGCCACCATGTGGTTGCTGGGATTTGAACTCACGACCTCTGGAAGAGCAGTCAGTGCTCTTAACCGCTGAGCCATCTCTCCAGCCCCTTATTTTATTTTTTATGTGTGTGAGCATTTGTCTACATGTGTACCTGACCACCGTATCCCTGTATCTGGAGTTACATATGGTTGTGAGCCTCCATGTAGGTTCTGGGAACTGAACCTGGGGTCTTCTGCAAGAGCAGCCAGTGTTCTTAACAATGGAGCCATCTCTCTAGCATTCAAGTTCCCAGTCTTGTGGCATTCTACCCACATGATGCTATCTTATGCTGTGCAACTCCGTCCCTCCCAGGACGGGAGTACAGCCTAATCAGTGCGTCTGTGTGACTTAACCACCTCAGGTTCAAGCTTACACTCGCATATGCTTATGTTCAGAGAGCATCCCAACGCCCTGTCTCATTAGCTCCTATGATCACATAAGCATCCCGTCATCCCCCGATACCCCGAGTTAGGCAAGAACAGTATAGTAACACGGTTGGAAGCTGAGCATGGCGACACACATCTGTCACATCATCCTAGCACTGGGGAGTTGGAGTGGGAGACTGTGGAGTTTAAGGTTAGCCTTGGCTACAGAGTGAGACCTTGGAGAGACAGGGTAGAAGGAGAGAGTTTGGGGGAGAGAGAGAAATGAGAGAGAGAGAGAGGAAGAGAGGGAGAAAGAGAGAGAGAGAGGAAGAAAGAGGGAAGAGACCATGTTCCCATAACTTTGTTACTAGTGTAAGGACCCAGAAAGAGGACCCCAACTCAAGTCCCAATTAGCGCGCACCCAAGGAGACACGAGAGACTGACTTGATGCAATGGCAAAAGGCAGTTTACTAACAAGGGCCCTTGGATCGAAACTCATCCCACGCAGGGGAGAGAATTTCGATGAAGACCCCAGGAAGTTTAGAACTTTTATAGGGGGAGGGACAAGGGGGAAGGGAAAAGTGGGAAATTCTGGCGCGGTTACATATGATTGGATATTTCAAACATCAGCACTTTACGTAAGCAATCATTTTGACAGGTTGGATGGCCCACTATTTTTGACCATGAAGCCTCAGACCTTCTAGGATAAACACCAGGTGGCCCATTACTCACTTGGGCATGTTTAGACTGGTCAAGATATGTCTTTGGTTGTTTCTACATTTCTGGTCACCTCGTCCCTAGAGGGGCTTGATATTTTTATTATGGCTACTCTCAGCAAGCTCAGCAAGCTGTCCTGCGGTCTTTGCCAAGTTGTTTGTGGTCTCTGCTAAGCTGTTTTAATTTTTACCCTTACACTAGTTATTGTATTATTAGGGTACTGTTGTGCCTAATTTACAAATTAATCTTTAACATTTCTTATATGTATGTATTTAGTGTGAATGTATAGAAGAGCACCTGTGTCATGACACCTGTGTAGAGGTCAGAGGATAACTTGCCGGTACTGAATCTCCCTCCAAAATCAGGTCATCAGGCTTGGCAGCAAGCCTCTCTACCCACTGAGCCATCTCACCAGCCTTATAGATTAATCTCTTTTAAAACATATTTGTTTTATTCCTCCTCTTTTTTTTTTGTTTTGTTTTGTTTTGTTTTGTTTTTTCAAGACAGGGTTTCTCTGTATAGCCCTGGCTGCCCTGGAACTCACTCTATACACCAGGCTGGCCTTGAACTCAGAAATCGGCCTGCCTCTGCCTCCCAAGTGATGGGATTAAAGGCTTGCTGTGCCCTTCCCCCAGCCTTGAGCAGGCCTGAGAGACCTTGTTTACCACAACAGAAGAAACAATAGGACTCCGGAGGCATTGCCTGCCTTGGCATTGCCGGCCTTGGTGCCTCCTTGGCTGCCCTGTAGCCTGGTACACAAGCTGAGAAGAATAGACTGCCTGCTGAGCTTGCTTTGAGACATCTCTGGCCAGTATGGATTCCTCTCACCTCCAGGATGGATTCAGCTCACCCCCAGCTGGCTGAAGCAAGAAGGAACTCTGGGGGTGGGGGTGGACTTTCCCCTTTAAATTGAAAGTTGAACATTAAAGCATTGAGCCTCGATCAGAAACCTTTGTCCTGGCTTCATCTCTTCCCGCCCTCCTCTGTCCCTTCTTCCATTCCCAGCCTCTCTTTCAGGTGAACCCGGTCTACTGTGGCCGATGTCCCTCAACAGCGTTTGCCACCACTGCCCGGCTTATTCCCCCTCTTTCTCTCTCCCTCTCCCTCTCTCTCTCTTCTTCTCCCCTTTCCCCTTCCCCACTCTGTGTGTGTGTGTGTGTGTGTGTGTGTGTGTGTGTGTGTGTGTTATATCTACAGATGTCACAGGTCCTTTGGAGCTGGGGTTACAGATGGTTGTGACTGCCAGATGTGTGTGCTGGGATCTGAACTCTGGTTCTCTGTTAGAGCAGTAGTCACTCTTAACCACTGAGATATCTCCTCTCCCCCACTGATTAACTTTATCACAGATGCATCCTGGTTAACCATCAGATGGACTGGATTAGGAGAGGGCTAAAGCGGCATTTGCAAGCTCTTGGTAAATGCAGCCCTCCCTGTCACTACAAGGGCTTCTTTCTGCAGCAGATGGAGCATGTTACCCAGACCCACAACTGGTCAAATGCGAACAAGTGGCCATGGGGCACACAGTGCCAAATGGGAATCTGTAACACAGCCTGATCCAAAGACTTGGGACAGAGAGGGTCTGCAGAATACTTCCAGACACGATCTGGAAGCTGCTCTTTTGATGCCAACATCAAGTCATCTAAACAAGAAATGCACCATAATGTTTGGTTTTGGTTTTGTTTTTTTTGGTTGTCAAGACAGGGTCTCTCTGTGTAGAAGTAGCTGGCCTGGAACTCACAGAGATCCACCTGCCTCTGCCTCTTGAGTGTTGGGATTAAAAGTATGCACCCCCACCACCCTGCTTGCACCAAGACATTCTGCCCACACAGGTAAGCCAAGTGACCATACTTCTGGAACCCTGAGCCCAAGTTGACTCTCTCCATTGCA